ATGAGGGCATTAGAGCAGAATACTGGACAGGAGGTCCAGACATTACAAAAGGCAGTGGTAAACATATTTGAAAAGATTGTACCATAATACAAAAGCATTTGTTCAACTATGTTCATAGCAGCATTATTTGTAATAGCCAGAACCTGGAAACAACCTAGATGCCCTTCAATGGAAGAATGGATGAAGAAAGTGTGGAATATATACACATTAGAGTACTACTCAGTGCTAAAAAAAAATGACATCTTGAATTTTGCATAGAAATGGATGGAAATAGAAAACACTATCCTGAGTGAGGTAACCCAGACTCAAAAAGTTGAACATGGGATGTACTCACTCATAATTGGTTTCTAGCCATAAATAAAAGACATTGAGCCTATAATTTTGATTCTAGAGAAGCTAAATAAGAAGGTGAACCCAAAGAAAAACATATAGTTATCCTCCTGGATATTGGAAGTAGACAAGATTGCCAGGCAAAAATTGGGAACTTGAGGGTGGGTTGGGATGGGGGTAAGGGGAAATGGGGAGAGAAAAGTGAGAAGGGTCAGACAGGGAAAGCCTGGGAGAATGGGATGGTTGGGATAAAGGAAGGGTAGATATGGGAGTAAGGAAGTATATATCTTAATTAAGGGAGCCATTTTAGGTTTGGCAAAAGACTTGACTCTAGAGAGGCTCCCAGATGTCCAGGGAGATGTCCCCAGCTAGTTCCTTGGGCAGCTGAGGAGAGGGAACCTGAAATGGCCCTATCCTATAACCATACTGATGAATATCTTGCATATCATCATAGAACCTTCATCTGGCGATGGATGGAGATAGAGGCCATGGTCTAGCCACAAACTTGGGCAGACATCGAAGCTCATGTATGGACCACATCAGCCAGAAGAAGAGGTAGACGGGTCATTACCACATGAAATTTCCCATTCCTTCAGTTTCCACAAATGCAATACCCCACCAACTCTCCAGCCATCTCCCCTATAGCCATGTTCCCACCCCCAATATATTCTCTCTGAAGATGATACCTGTCAGGGTGTTGTCAGAAAGCCTTTAATCAAAGAAGGTAAGAAGCCTAGGACTAAAAATGCTATATTTCCCTGAAAAAAACCACTCACTAAGAAAAGTGAAGAGGAAGCTGAGACCTTCCATTCTGTGGAAGGATAAGTTAGGAAAGAGGTTCTCACCATGACAGCCAGGATGTAAACAGAGGGAGGATGGAAGGGAGAGAGAGAATGTGAATCCAGGGAATGAGATATATCCTTCAAAGACATTCCTCCAATGTCTTATTCTTCCAATTTTGTCCCACCTATACTTTTCTCCACTTCCTATAGTTTATTTGAGTTATGATTTCTTTTTCTAATTGTCTCAGAGTCATTATGTTGCAATTATCTCTTAATCATTGGATCAACAAGCTAAACTTAACCTTAAATATGAGTCTTTCGGAGGACATTTCATATCCAAACAAATACAAGAACAATGAAGTTTATGACTACAACATACACATTTCAGTACCAGACACAATTCCATTAAAAAAGTTATACATGAATTTTTTACTTTTTGGTTTATTGTTGCAGCTTGTTTTTTATAGCCTGTAATTGCTTCCCCAAATTTGTTATGTCATGAGTCACATGAGGAGCTATAGACAATTGATGTCTTCTGAGGCAGGGTGAGAAACTTTTCTTTAAGGATGTGGCTTCTGCTGTTTCACTAAACTCCAGTGAATGGTGCCACACCCTGGCGTATGTGGGCAACACAATCTCACCTGGATTACAAAAACAAAAGCAGATGGTACCAATCTGGGGGATTAGGGCAGAGGAGCCAAAGTGGGGAGAAGGAGACACTAATATAACCAAAATATAGTATGAATTATTACATTCTCAAAAAAGATTGAAATAGTGTGTTTTAACAAAAATACCATACCTTCTGAACTTAGATTTCTATGCTTCTTCTCTTATTATCTGGGTATTTAAGAATTGATTTGGAATTAATTTTCTATGGAGCTAAGTGGATAGTTACACTGATGGCTATCTTCTGGGTATATGAGAACTGTATCCATGCAACACCAACTCCACTGATTTTGAAGACAAGAAGACAAGACTGAGCTCTATAGAAACCATGCTTTGTTCCCCGTGTTCTGAGTGGTGGTGAGATATGTACAGCTCACCCTTCTATTCAGAGTGACTGTATCAGTGTACTTCTGTCATTTTGCAGTGTTATGGGGTTCTGAACTTTGGCTGTCACACTCAGTCACTAGCTTAGTTCATTTATCCCAAGATAAGTAATATTCCAATAAGTTTTAGGGCCAAAAAGTTGCTACAGGTTTCCTTGTAGCTGTTGTTATTTCTTTCTCCAAGGATGAGTAAACTCTTCCAGAAGTAGTTGTGTTCCCTAAGGAGGCAGTGGCAATGTAGCAATTATATCCTGGCTTTAATTTAGAATCAAGATGGCAGTGTTTTCCTTTGGGATCTTTTCTGTTTTTCTTTTTGTAAATTAATGTTCATACTGAATTCTCAAGAGCCGCAGGCAAATATTTATTGATATGTCTACTTTTGTTTTGTTCTGAGCTGATGAGGCTACTCTCCACCACTATCAAACTTTCTGTCCATTAAGGACCCTATTTATTGCAGTGTCTCCCATGACTTCTAGAGAGAATTGGAGGAACTTTCTCAAGTCTGAAAGATGAAGGTATCTGTGTTTATCATCTAGGGGTGAATCTAAGGCGGGGAAGAATTTGCCCTCAGTAATACAAGTGTGTATACACAATGCACAATGAATGTGTGCATTGTATATTTTTGTCTTTAGGCTTTTCTCCACACCACAGTGCTATTACAGTTATTTCTCAAAATTGAGTATCTGTCTAAAGTTTGAGGAGAGTATAAATAGAGCAGCTCCATAGAGCAATTTATCTCACATTTATACAGTACCTAATCCAGGAGAAGAAAATGCAGGGTTTTTTTTTTGTCGGTAACCTCCCTCAAGTCTTGCTAGGTTTCTTTCAAATTTTATGCCAAAACTCTCTAATTGTATCCATCTCCACTGACACACTCAGATGTATGCAGTGAGTATATTTAAATCTGAACTATAACAATAGCCCCCGTTCAGCTCCCTCTGATACCTGGTTTTGCTATAACCCTACTTTACTCACTACACAGTAAATGTTTAAAGCTTTCAGCCATGTCTTTCCTCACATCTTTCCTTGTAGGTACTAATGTTCTGAGTTTGAGAACTGAGACTTTCTCCTGTAATATAAATGACCTTATATACCCCTGTTTGTCAGTGATATTCCAACTTCATACATTTTTATCAGACTGACCCATAGTCTTGACCTTTCCCTATTCCCCCAATGCCTAAGACCCTCTCTCTTCAAACACTCAACTATCATGACTCCACAGAACATGTAAGAATAGCCTTCCTCACCAGCTGCAAACCCTTATGCTTGGCTGTCAAAATCGTGGATATATACATACTCTTAATTCTACTTCTGGGAATTTATCATACATACTTAAGTAAAAGTGTATTGAATAATAATGCTTGTTGTAATACTGGAAATGGCAAAAATAATGAGACTCAATGTTCAAAAATTGCTAATTATTATTATATTATGGAAAAGTGATTATTATAAACAGTGATGAGTGATATGACTAATGAATAGTTTCTGGTAGGAAAATTATATTAGAATATTTATAGAGTAGATGTATAGTGTAGAGATTTTAACAGCAATCTCAACAAAGATAGGAAAATCAGAGTAGTAACAAAAATTTTAGCTGCCCCTCTTCCCATGAGTGATTAACTTGTTTCTCAGCTTTCAAACATGAAGACATTCAGATTGTTTTTATTTATAAAACAGGGATCTGTGTTTTAATAGACAGATAACCATGTTTTATTTACTATTGTTTTCTGATTGTTCTCATGAATAATTCCATTTTCAACAGATAAAGAAGGGGACAATGATAAATGGAATTTTAGAAATAAAATAAAACAAAAGATCATTTAAGAGTCATTAGTAAAGGATATCTGGATTAAGATCAATGACAGTGGAGAGCATTATTTGATCGCATTAAACAGAAGCCAACTGCTTCCTTGGTAGAGTCCAGATGTGGCTAGAGATGTTAAATATTTCACGTCATCCTACAAACCTAAAAAATCAAAATTCGGTTTTGGTTGAGAAAACACAAAATAGAACTTATTCTGGGTGGTGGTGGTGCACGCCTTTAATCCCAGCACTCAGGAGGCAGAGACAGGCAGATCACTGTGAGTTTATAGCCAGACTGGTCTACAAGAGCTAGTTCCAGGACAGGCCCCAAAACTACAGAGAGAGAGAGAGAGAGAGAGAGAGAGAGAGAGAGAGAGAGAGAGAGAGAGAACTTGTAAGAGTCACAGGAAAGAGTCACAGACATATATATATATATATATATATATATATATATATATATATATATATATATTCCTTGAAAACTGCTTTAGAAAGAGAGACAATTGGAGATGTCAAGGTGGGAAAGATGTGAAGAGGTGAGTAGAAGACATGTCATCTGATATTTCATGTTATTGGCATAGTTCTGTCCTCTTAAGCCTCTAAATCAAAATTACAGCTTCATAGCTGCCTCCTGGATTCTATCTGTCAATACACCTCCAGATATAAAACATTAGCCAATATGTTTCAGACTCTGAAGAGGATCAAGAGGCTAGTAAACTATCAAACATCAATGACTACCTTTAATATTAGTTGATAGCTGGTATAACCTTTTACTTCATTCCCCATCTCAGAATTCCCTTAGGGATTTCTACATGTCTCAAAGCTGATCTTTATTTATATGTTAATTGTTTGGGAATTTGTAAGTTCCACAAAAATATGCTAAGCTGGTTTCTAAGTCACCAACCTCCCATTAGTGTTCAGAAGCTTGAGAAGTTCAAAAAAGTAAATACACTAATTAATAATATTTCTTTCATTGTGCCCTGGTCATCACATTTCCCATTCTTACACTTTCATGTCTTTCTGATCTTTAGCAGACAAGGAACACAAGAAATCAGAGCAGTGCATCTGAGTTCATCCTCCTGGGACTCCCCATAAATTCAGAGGACCAAGACTTGTATTCTGCACTGTTCCTAGTCATCTACCTGACCACAGTAGTGGGGAACCTGCTCATCATCCTGCTCATCAGGCTGGACTCTCACCTCCACACCCCCATGTACTTCTTCCTCAGCCACTTGGCATTCACAGACATCTCTTTCTCATCAGTCACAGCTCCAAAGATGCTCATGAATATGCTGACACAAAGTCAGTCCATCTCATATGCTGAGTGCATTTCCCAGGTGTACTTTTTCCTATTTTTTGCAGATCTTGACAGCTTCCTTCTGACCTCCATGGCCTATGACAGGTATGTGGCCATCTGCCACCCCCTCCACTATACAAGTATCATGAGTCAGAGTGTCTGTATCTTACTGGTCATTGCATCTTGGTTGTTATCCTTTGCTGGTGCCCTTGTTCACACCATCCTTCTAGTTCGTCTCTCTTTCTTTAGAGGTAACACTCTCCACCACTTCTTCTGTGATCTCTCTGCTTTGATTAAACTCTCTAGCTCAGACACCTCTATCAATGAGCTGGTCATCCTCATTGTGGGATCACTGGTCATTACTGTGCCATTCATATGCATCCTGGTCTCTTATGGCCACATTGGAGCCACCATCCTGAGAAGACCCTCACTCAAGGGAATCTACAAAGCCTTGTCCACGTGTGGCTCTCATCTCTCTGTGGTTTCTCTCTATTATGGAGCCATTATTGGGCTATATTTTGTTCCCTCATCTAACAACACTAATGACAAGGATGTCATTGTAGCTGTGCTGTACACTATGGTCACACCCATGCTAAATCCTTTTATCTACAGTCTTCGGAATCGAGATATGAAAGGAGTTTTGAGGAATATGCTTGCAAGAGCAACATTTTCTATGTGATCAACTTCCTCTGCTACACAAAGGGGAGCTGAGATTTCCCCAGGCTTTATAAGCATCCTTTACTTTGAGAAATGTTATTTCTTAGTTATTTGGTGCACTGTCTTTTCAGGCACACTTTACAGTGTATGTCATTTTAAAACTCCATTTTCCTTCCTCTCTCTCTCTCTCTCTCTCTCTCTCTCTCTCTCTCTCTCTTTCTGTCTGTCTTCTTGATCCTGACAGTCTTAAACAAGTTTTATTCACAAACATATCCATACATCTTTTTTTCTGCAATTGTTATTTTGTTTCCTCACTGTTTTCAGTATTTTTGATATGTAAAAGCCTTTAATTGGTAAAGTTTTTTCTCATTTTCTAATGATGCTACTATTTCTTGAGGCTGACCAATTCAAGATTCTATTTGTGCTTAAGTTTATAATATAGCTAGTGTATATTTTTGGATAACTTTAGTTCAGAATGTAGCTATGCTTTTGTTCTAATTAATTTTCTCTAATTATTTTTAATTTTAATTGACATCAAATTGTACATAGTCACTGGATATCATGTATTGTTTTTATGCATGTATATAGTTCAGATGTTCAAATAATGATGATCATGTTTAATTTTTGATTTTTACCTGTTTATGATGGAAATACTCATAATTTTTTGTATCCATTTGAAACTCACAGTATTTTTTATTACCAGATTAATCACCCTATCTTGTAACCAGAAGCAAGTTTTCCATTTCGTTGTCATCTACCCATTAGCCAACTTCCTTCTGACTCTTCCAAATGTAGCCTCTGTTACATTCACACTACATTTTAACTGTCTCAGTGTGAAGGTCGCTAAATAGTTAACTTTTCCCCTCCGAGTATATGAGTCTGTTCACATATTGAAACAAAATTACTTTTCTGTTAAAGGCTGTGACAGACAAATACTGATTCAACTGATGAATAAAACCCCTATGGGACATCTCTGGTCCTAGGAAGGTGAAGTCCTGTGAAACACTGGCTAGAGACTTTCCAAAGCATTCCAGGGAGTTTGTGGTCATGCGTATGGTGTGTATCCTGATGTGAGCTGAGGAGTAGCTGCCAGCATCTGAGGAAGTCTAGCCAATCTGAGTTGATTCACACATGTGGGATGTACAACATCTCAACTTTCATGTGTTTTTAAAATTAAAAATGATACTTACCTGCCCATCACTCAAATGTATTACTTTCTATGCCCATTTAAAAGAATATATTTTAAAATGTAGTTCTTGGGAGGCTGCATCTATTCAAGACAAAGACTTTAACTTCACTTCTATAAGCAGAATGCTGTAATGCTTATTTTTATTAAAAATATTGAGTTACATCAGTGTACAAAGTAACGAGTTTCATTGTGTACACACACATAGCACTTTGATCAAGTGAACTTTGTTTCCCTCTTTCATTTTTTCCATGTCTGCCTCTTTTTCAACCTGCTCTCTTCCATATAAGACTGTCTTTGATTTTCAGGACGTCTTTTCTTTATGTTTTCCCTTGTGGTGGAAAGCATGATACTAGTCTTTCTGTTTATATTTTTTCATAGCACAAGAAACTCAAATCTCGTAGGTTTATCCTGCAAACGGCAAGCGATAACCTTTGTTCATCACCTATTGGTTGCCTTGCACTTGTTATTACAATTCCTCCAAGGATGAACTGCCTTGTGTCTTCTTCAGCAAAAATTTCTATCCCTGGAGAAGTCCAAGGCGATGATGAAACCATACGCAGCTTGTCCCTAATCAGGAGCCAGGCATACAGGATCACCCCAGGCCCTCATCATAGAGTATAAAATTAAAACCCACACTGATTTCTCGGGACATGAACAATCATGTGTCTATCATAACAGGCTGCATGCAGAAAGCCTTTTGTTGCTCACAGTGGAACATTGAGCCCCTTGCAGACTCTGCCAGCTTCACTATATTCTGCATATTCCATAAATAAATGGAAGAAGTTTCCACACCTTGGAGATAAGGTATCTGTGATTATCATCAAATGCTCAATGTCAGAGTGGAAATAAAATTTACAAGAAGCAGGATGACTGCAACCTTGGGTGTCCTTATCTGTATATGTGTGCAGTGTGTGTTACTTTTCGCTAAGGTCTAACCCTCTTCATGACACACTAGGACAGAAAGATTCTTGTAGATGACTTATTTGGATCATCTATCTAAAATTTGAAAGAGTGGGATGACAACAAATTTACATACAAAAAGGCTGTCTCTGATTCTATATCTAATTTTGAGATGAAAAGGCAAGGCATACATCCATTTGCTTTTCTATGACACCCATCATCTTCTTGGGTAGTTTCTCAAATTTTGTACTAAATCAATATAATTTGATTCTTCTGTGCTGCAACAATTCACATAGGGGAATTATTTTGTACCTTAGATAGTGCAATGGCTATTCAGATTCCTGCTTATTCTGTTATTCTGTTTCAGTCACTACAAGAAGATAGCTTGTAGTTACCCTAAAAGTCTTTTCTTAGACTTTTACTTGGTCCCGTTTCTGAGAACAAATCGAAGGTTTCTAATGTGACAGGAAAGGTCTTATATACACATGCTCCCTAAGAGTTCCCTGATCCATATCTTTTCCATCTGACCAAAGTTCTAAATTTTTGTTCCTCAAATGTCCTTGTTCTGTATGCTCCAACATGCTTTTTATGAAATAGTTTTCATGATAAAGATTCTTAAGTGAAGGTTGCTTTAAAGAACACATAGGAATAGAATTTCTTGTCACTTATCATTTTATAATTGAACAATATGTTAAAGTCATAAATATAAATGTTATCTAATTGCATTTTTAGAAATTCATTCTACACCCATGTACATGTTACATATATCAGTGCACAAAAATTCTTAAAAACTTGCAAATGTTATTTATTAAAATGTAACAAATGAATAAAAGCAACCCACATCTCCATCAGACAGCTAATTAGTATTTTCATTGAGATGCAAAAGTTTTTATTATTAAAAAATAAGTAACATAAAAAGGGTAGTTCATCTCCATAATAGCATCACTTAAAGGACTTTTAATGTAGTAGGATAAATATAATATAAATTTTAAACATACCTCAATCAAGTTGAAATGATTTATGCTTTATATTTATATTTTACTGTAATCTTTAATTAACTTCAAATAAATGGTAGATGAAATGATTATGCAATTCTCAAAAATCAGTACATTCAGAGTGGATAATTTTTTCAGAGAATATGGAGTTTGCATTTTAATATCCGTTTCACATGTTTTCTTTCTTGAATATTAAATGATTATGACAACAAATTTGAAGGAGAACGAGGGAAAATTAGTGTATTACAAATTATAAGAAATGTTAGAATACAACAAAAATTTTTTAAGAATCATTAGTGAGAACCAAGCCTGAGAATCACTGTTAAGGAGAGCTTATTGCTTGTTTATGTCAGACAGACATTCAGAAAGAACCTTCTCTGTGCTAGAGTCTGGATCTGACAGGGAAAGTCAAGGATTTCTGGATATTCTACAGGCTTGAATGGGAATGGTTCAGCTTGAGCTAAGATACTGTATACAGAGGCCTCTGTGGGTGTTTATTAGAAGAGATGTACACTCCCTTTCCCCTGCATCTAGTGATGAAAGTGTTGGATAGGAAGAAAGAATTGATGGAATATCCCAGGTATGTCACTAGTTAATGAAACCCCAAAGATTGACCTGATATATGTACCATTCACATAAAATGTGGAGATTCTGATATTTTGGAGCTTCATAACCTAATATTTACTTTTGTGGTAAGTGGAATTAAAGCATATCTGAAAAGTATTCCTGGTATCTCATAGACAGGGGTGGGAATTAATCCAATCCAATTAGCCATTGGAAGTCACCTACTGGATTTCTATCTGTTCCTTATTGACTCTGCCTTGCTCTCCAATTTGAAATCTCAAATGTTTTTTTCACAGACTAAAGTCTCCTCTGGTTGAGCCCGAATAAATCTGATACTCACTGTGGTACTTTCCATCTTTTCTTCTAAAATGCTGTGAAGTTGGCTTTTAGGCAGGCAAATAGCAAATTTAGTCACATAAAAACTAACCCAACAGTGTGGCAAAAAACTCAAGATATTCATTAGATTGTACATACAATCTGACTAGTTAAAAACTTGCTATTCCCCCTCCTCCCAGGGGGAGGGAAATGGGAGGCTGGGAGGAGGTGGAAACTTGTTTTTTGTTTATGTTTTTTTTCCTCTTTTCTTAATAAAAAAAAGAAAGAAAATATTTATAACAAAAACAACTAATTTTAAGACTGCATGAGTTGAACAGAAGTATAGGGGAGACATTAAAATTGAAAAAGCATAATAAAGATGTCTGTATTTGAATAATGGATAAAATAAACCTTAAAAAAAACTTGCTATTATTCTGTAGCAGATACAATGACCTCTGCTTCCTCTATATCATCATTTTTCATCTCTAGGAAAAGAAAAGAGCATGATGAAGAATAACCAGAGTAGCACATCTGAGTTCATCCTCCTGGGACTCCCCATCCAGCCAGAAGATCAAGACATGTACTCTGCCCTGTTCCTGGCCATGTACCTGACCACAGTGCTGGGGAACCTGCTCATCATCCTGCTCATCAGGCTGGACTCTCACCTCCACACCCCCATGTACTTCTTCCTCAGCCACTTGGCCTTCACAGACATCTCTTTCTCGTCAGTCACAGTTCCAAAGATGCTCATGAATATGCTGACACACAGTCAGTCCATCTCATATGCTGGGTGTGTTTCCCAGGTATATTTTTTCTTATTGTTTGGGTGTGTTGACAACTTCCTTCTGACCTCCATGGCCTACGACAGGTATGTGGCCATCTGTCACCCTCTGCACTACACCACCATCATGAGGCAGAGCCTCTGTGTTCTGCTAGTGATAGTGTCCTGGGTATTTTCCTCCACCAATGGCCTTGTGCACACTCTTTTCTTTGCTCGTCTTTCTCTCTTTAGAGACAACACTGTTCACCATTTTTTCTGTGATCTCTCTGCTTTACTTAAGCTGTCCAGCTCAGACACCACCATCAATGAGCTGGTCATTCTCACGTTAGCAGTGATAGTTATTACTGTGCCATTCATATGCATCCTGGTCTCTTATGGTCGCATTGGAGCCACCATCCTGAGGACTCCCTCCATCAAGGGAATCTACAAAGCCTTGTCCACATGTGGTTCTCATCTCTGTGTAGTTTCTTTGTACTATGGAGCCATTATTGGGTTATATTTTGTCCCCTCCTCCAATAATACTAATGATAAGGATGTCATTGTAGCTGTGATGTACACTGTAGTCACACCCATGCTGAATCCCTTTATCTACAGCCTGAGGAATCGGGACATGAAAGGAGCACTGAGAAATATCCTCAGCAGGAGAGTCTGTTCACAGTGAAGGGCTTGGTCTTCCCTCTTTCTATATTTGGGAGCTTCTCAGTCCCACACAGAGGACTCTATGTGCTTTCCAGTGAGTCTTCAGATAGTACTTTTTCCTTCTGCATTTCACCTCAACCACAGGTTTTGTTTCTCTTTAATTGTTTTGTTCATCTTGGGGAATATTTTTGTTTGTTTTTAAACACTTCCACACTATTTTCCTTTTCACAGTGTATCCTAACTTTAGGAACAAAAATTTTTTATAAAATGCCAGCCATTTGCCTTTCATTATTATCTAATTTTATGGCCTTCTTTATAAAAGATTTTTTTCCTCTCTCAAGAAAGCAGAAATATTTCTCCTGTATATGCATTGTTTATTTTTATTTTTTATTTTCTAATATACTTTGAATTTATTTTTAAGATTAACACCAATTAAAATTCTAGTTTACTTTTGTTTTTTGTTGGTTTTTTTTTGTTTGTCTCTTGGTCCTTCAAGAGAGGGTTTCTCTGTGTAGCCCTAACTGTCCTAGAACTCACTATGTAGACCATTCTGGCCTTGAACTCAGAGATCCACCTGCCTCTGTTCTCAAGTGCTAGGATTAAAGGCATAAGCCAACAGCACGTTTTCTATTTTAAAATTGGTGCATAAATAAATACATAATATTGTCACTCTGGAAATCAATGTGTGCATTTCTCAAAGACTATACATAGATCTTTCATTTGACTCAGCGATACCACTTCTGGGAATATAAACAAAAACTTTATATCTACTATACAGATACTTTTATATCGTGTTCACTGCTGCTTTGTCCACAATAGCTAGGAAATGAAATCAACTTAGAAGTTTATCAAGTGACCAATGGAAAGAGAAAAATGTGGTATATATGCACAGTGCAGTATTACTGAGCTACAGGAGAAAACAAAGCCATTTTAAATGTGTAAAAATAAATGTATGGGAAAATTGAGTGTGGTTATTGTCAAAGACAAATGATTCATGTTCTCTTTCCCATGAAGTTCCATATGCTAGGTTCACATGTTTTGTTTTGCTCATTTAACATAGTGCACATAAGGAAACTAAGAAACTACAAATGGTCATTGGCTGAAGATGCACTCAGGGACAAGGCTATTCGAATTTAGGTGAAATGAAAATAAAGAGGTGGAAGCCTAGGATCAGAAGTATTGAGGCATGTAGTAGGATGATGGGGATGTGGGTGTCAGGAGTAGATGTAACCAAAATTAAATGTGCATTAAGAAGCTGCTTCAAAAACTATGATCTTCAAATCCAGGATAAATCTAATAATAGGGGATAGTAGAACATATATTTATATAATATGAAAGACTGGGGAGACTACTGAAATATAAATGTTTAAGGGATGGTTGAGAGGGTGGCAAGAAAGAGAGGTAGGAATGTGCTAATTAAATATTTGATAAATGAAAGAGTGTAAGGGCTGGAAATTGGGGAGGAATAGCTGTGAAATTCTGTCTTCTATACACGAAGTGGCTGTTGCACACATGAGCTCGAGCAAAGAGGGGAGTGACTCAAATGTCCTAACAGAAGAATTATGGGCAGTTGTTATCTGGAGGAAGAAGAGTCATTTTTTTCAGAAATATGGCCACTTGTTGGTTTCCCATTTCCCAATAGATGATTCATGCCGACAGACAAAAGGGAAACACTAGTTTGTCTCAGTGGGTTAATAAATAAAAAAATAAAAAATATAAAAGAAGGGCATGATAGTGGGAGGAAGACATGATAGGGGATCCTAGGGAAAGTTAGAGGGGAAGAGTAAGTGGTAGATATGACCAAATATATTGCTTAAATTTATGAAATTTTTAAGGATAAAGAAGAGTTAAAATTTAAATATTACAATGAAAAATTGACACATATTTTCAAGTTTCAAGCATGTGTAAGTTAGGCAATGTTCAAATAAAGATAATTATAAATATTTTCATCGTTTATCTTCCTTTGTAGTAAACACTTTATACTTTGGGATTTGAAGCATTAAGCATATAATTATTACACTGTGCTATTTGATTTTTGTCAACTTGACACAACCTAGACATATCTGGAAAGACTGAATCATAATTGAGAAAATATTTCTATAAGACTGACCTGATGGCAAGTTTGTTGAGTACTTTTTTGCTTAGTGATTGCTGAGTAAGAGCCTAGCCCAGTGTTGGTGTTGCTATCTCTGGGATAGTGGCCCTGGGTTCTGTAAGAATGTAGGCTGAACAAGCCATATACGCAGTACCCCTCCATGGCCTCTGTATCAGTTTCTTCTCTAGTTTTCTGCCTGCCCTGATTGCATCCCTGCCATCACTTGCCTCAGTGATAGATTGTTACATGAATGTTTAAGATGTTTAAGATCTCAAGTTCCTTTTGGTCATGGTTTTATCACAGCAATAGAAACCCTGATCAGGACACTAAGCTTACTGTGTAATAGACTTAACAGCTGCTGAGAAAATTTTCTCCAGGTCTTTCCATATGTTCTCCTAAATGGTTACTGTTTTTCAGCTGTTTTAATGATTTTACATGTTTTATTTATTTAGTGTATGTGTTTACATCTGGAGGTCAGGCAGGTTGAAATTGTTGGTGTCCTTCTATGTGTGGGTCCTAGTGCTCAACCTTATGTTGTCAGGCTCGGTGGCAAGTGTTTTTTCTCTTAAGAATCATATCACTGATCATATTTTTAGGTGTTTTTTTGAGACATAGTAACCAAGCACATGACTTTTTCTCCCCTTAAAAAAATCAATTTCGTGCCAAGTGGTGGTGTTTCATACCTTTAATTCCAGCACTCAGGAGGCAGAGGTAGGTGGACCTCTGTGAGTTCAAAGCCAGTCTGGTCTACAGAGTAAGTTCCAAGATATTAGAGATACACAGAAAGACCAGGTCTCAAAAACATTTAACTTTTTCTAAAATATGTATGAAACTTGACTGTAATAGCCCTATAGGCAGGTGTTCAGCAGGTCCAGTAGGTAGGATGTGTAAAGTAGGGGGGATGGAGTGACTTTGTAAAGCAAAAATGGTGTGAGGGAGCCATGATTACATGACTATCCACTAAATCTAATTTATTTCTATGTGTATTCATCTCTAAATTTCATAGATTTATTCTTGCACACACATGACTTATCTGCATGAGGAGGTTATAGCAATATACCAGTGACCGGGTATCACAAAAAGCAGAAAATCAATTGCATATAACACTGGATCTAGAAGTGTAGGATTATATAGTTTCTTTATAGCTTGTAGATGTTAATAACTTTGTCCTATCTGTATGGTCATATAACAGAAACAGGAGATTCAGAAAGGCAGCCAGAGACAGAGAAGAAGGAGAAGGAGAAAGAGGAGAATAATAGCAAAACCAAGAAAATCGTTTTTCCGAAAAGGACCTCTAGCCTTTTAGAACAGTGTACAACCATTATGACATCATTAACATCTAATGAGGGACCTATGACTTCATTTAACACTAGTTCGTTCTTTATTCTATTTCTGAAACATTCATATTAGATGTAGATAGTTTCAATACATGAATTTGAGGTTTGGCACAGTCATCCATAAAATAGTGTTTTGCGTTTATGTGCTTTGTTATGACACTGGAGTTGAATTTTTTATCTTTTTATGTATTCCCATGTTTTCAACCTTTATGAAATGTTGCTATGGCCCTTATAATTTATGTTACTTAAACACACAGAACATACTTAGGGATCAATCTGACATCAGAATTGTATGGTCCATATCAATTCACATTTTTAGTGGTTAAATCATAATATCATATTGCTTCTCTATTATGGGTCCACTAAAATTTCCAGTCACACACATCGTGGTCAACAAAACATTTCAATTATGAAAGCATAGAAAAATGAATCATCACAACAAGTGGGACTTCTCTTTAGAAACCTACCACTTGCAAAGGAAAAATCAGGTTTTTTTCCAAAGGAGTCTCACTGGGTTTGTCAACAACACTTAATGGTGAGTCTCCTGCCCAGCAAGAGATGCTAACACAAAATTAAATCAATGGTGTTTTTAAAGTTAATTTTTGTCTCATATTGCTTTGTTTGATTGATTTGTTTTTTTTTAACTTACTGACCTTTTGCTTATATATTATGGTTTCCAACCTTCTGTTTTAAATATTTTGTGTGTGTATGTTTCTTTTCCATTCTGGTTTGCTTTTTTATTTGCCTATTTGTTTTCTTTTAAGGGAGAATGTGGGGAATGCTGTGATAAAAATACACTGTAAAATTTCAGAGATGACTGAGTGGTTAAGAGCATTGTCTGCTCTTCCAAAGGTCCTGAGTTCAATTCCCAGCAACCACATGGTGGCTCACAACCTTCTATCTGTAATGAGGTCTGGTGCCCTCTTCTGGTCTGCAGACATACATACAGACAGAATATTGTATACATAAATAATAAATAAATATTTTAAAATTTTTTCAATAGAGAAAAGTAAATGGAAACTAGCCACTGAACTAAAAAGTGATCACAAAACTAAACATTTTTAAAATTCTGTACAGTGATTTATTAAAAGGTTTCTTTCTGTCAACACTTTATAATAGTTCATTTTTATTATTTGGGTGTTTC